TGAAGCACTGGAACAGGTTGCCCAGAGAGGTGGTGGAGGCCGCATCCCTGGAACCATTCAAGGTCAGGTTGGATTGGGCTCTGAGCACCCTGATCTGGTTAAAGCTGTCCCTGCTCACTGCAGGGGGGTTGGGCAAGATGACCTCTAAAGGTCCCTTCCAACCCAAAGCATTCTATGATTCTATATTGGCACTCAATGTGCAGCAATGCTGTATTTACTTTCTGCTTTTTAATCCTTTTACTAGATGCGACACTGAAGAAAAAAAATCCTTGACTAGATTAATTCTGGTACTTAGCTATGCCCCTATTTTTCCCTCCTGATATTCTCAGAATAGAAATTGTGATTGACACTGCCAAAACAAGGAGCTGTGCTTGGCAAAATCTTATTCATGCAAACTTCAACAAGTCTCACTGAAGTAAAAATTAAAATAAAACACCTTACGATCTGTCAGTTTCCAATTCATCAGTAAAAAACAACTATAAAATTACTACCTAACATCCAGAGAACAAGAACATTCTCTCTTGAGAGAAAAAAAGACTCAGGTTTCTTTCTCTTCTCTGGGATTCTTACCTTTTTTTTTTTTAACTTTGCTTTCAACAGGTTTAGGCCAATTACCCTGTTGTATTACAGGAGTCCTCCCTTGGGCTAAATAATTAGTACTGAATCAAGCATTTCTGTTGTTCTCTAACCAAAGATCAAGTATGTTACTCCTCCAAAGGCTTGAAGTATCTCGTAATTAAAGATTAAGTTTGCTCTTCACATGGCAATTTTATACCAATTTCAGAAGATGTGAAACTATTCTGTTTACTGTTTCAACACAGTGAAATTATTTTAACAAGTAAACAAGGAAAAATAAAATACAATTCAATGCAAACATAGCTTGATGAAAGTCCTGCAAACTCCCCTGCACTTATTCTGTTTTGTGCATTTCCATTATTAACTTCTCTCCCCTGCTTAAATCATTTTGATAACTTATTTCTAGTGGTTCAATAACTCCATGCTAAAAAAAATTCCCTCTAAAAACATGTGTGAACTATATTGGATATTTTGGCTGCTTATGAATGTTTTGTTCACTAACGTAACATTCACTAATCTGAGATGTCTGTTTAGCAGAAAAAAAATGTTATCTGCCAGCAGCAGGAGAAGATAATACATTCTAATCCGATTAATTCACAGAGTATATTAGCATTTCCCCCTACATATGTGTGTGCGTATACATATGCACTATTACTTAAAGGAATTTTAACATAACAGAAATTTACTCACCAAAACGCCATCATATGAACCAGACTCACTTGTCAGGAAAGCAAACATAGCACACAAGTAGGGATTGTTCAATTGCAGTCTTAGAGTACTGCACATTTCTCTCCAAAGTGAGTTCTTCTCATCTGTGTAGCCTGACAGAGCCATTGCTACTACATTAAGGTTCAGATCACCTAATTTATTAAAAACAATCAGTGAAACAATATTCAAGTTAAGGACTTAAAAAAAATCCAATTAAAACTGTAACTGAAAGCATCAGTTCGAAACAGAATGTTTTGTCAGAATGCAAGACAAAGTGCAGTAGAATTAACACTAGCTAAAATAAATATGCATACACTAGCATTTATTAGTTTCTGCTTTAAAGGCCTCTGTTCAGGTAAGTTAACAGCTCTAGAAGTCACAAGCTCACATGTATGACAGCCCGAGTTATATTTTAAGCAACATCACACTGGTTCTGGTATTTTGAAATAGTTTTGAACTGCTAAATGTGTTCCTATTGCTATCATAAAAGACTGTCATTACCATAATTCATATCCACAAGAAGTGAAAAGATACGATTGTATATATTGCCATCACTTAACAGACCTAGCTGGAGGATGACAACTGCATGTAGCACCTTCAAGTTAACAAGTTTCCTAAAAACATTAAGTCTATTTCATCTAAATATTCATTCTGTCAGAAAGATTAATTTTATTTTTGAATTTGAAGATAGCATGTCTCCGCTCTGAACCTTCCCTATGGAAAGCACAGGGACACTTTCCCCCACCAAAAAGGGGCAATATTAAAAATAAAAGAACAGTAACAGCTCCCTCCGTGTCTTACCTGCTCGCTTTAGTGGCAAGATAGTCTTTTAAGTTTAATAAGGGAACACAGATACAAATTGGAGTTGTAGGAGGAATAGTGGCAAGAAAACAGAACAAAAATACCTCCATCTCCTGGCTGCAGTATCTTCACTTTTCCCTCATACATTGCAACTCTTATCAAATATTACTCCAAAACAAACGTTTTCTGCACACCCTGAATATTACATTTCAGTTATTCGACAGCCATTGCACTGGAGGAAAGCTCCATACAGCCCAATGGAAGCAGATATACATGACACCTACCCAAGATGCAATGCCATTAAAATAAAAGAATCCCACTAGTTCTGAGTGTAACACTTTCTAGGGTATGCATCAATAGGAAAATCTGAAACATACAACCTATTTTAACTAGACAGTAAGGCATATGATAGTCTGAGGAGTGAAAGATCAGGATTTCTCAGATTCTTTGGCTCCAAAACAACCACTTCAAGTAACTATGTCATAAAACAGACATCTTTTCCATACTATCTTCCATAATTTTGTTTACTAGGGTGACATAATGCCAAAATAAAAGGTACTAAACACAATACACACCTTTTCCCGAGGAAGCCCCTTTATTTAGAATTTGTATTGCTCGACGGATGTCCAAGTTGAAAAGTGCTACAGCAGCAGCTCGCTCCCAGTCTCCTTCCTGTTCCAATGAATTTAAAAAAGGTTCCACATCTAAGTCTGTTCCCTTCTTTATCCACCCACAGAGCTGCAAAGCCAAGGATCTCTCCTCACTCAGATATTGAATAATATCTGCCTGTCTGTCAGATCCACTCCTGCTGTGCCTGAGGTTCTCTGTTGTTCCTAGAAATGGGAAATAAGTTAAATTATGGTTAAATCACAAGTTAAATCGCAATTGCAATGCAACGCTTTGATTTCAATCATAAAGCAGAATACAAAAGCTGAGTATCATATTTTAGTACTGTCCTGGTTTTGGCTGGGATAGAGTTAATTTTCTTCCTAGTAGCTGGCATAGTGCTGTGGTTTGGATTTAGGATGAGAAGAATGTTGATAACACACTGATGTTTTAGTTGTTGCTAAGTACTGCTTATGCTAGTCAGGGGCTTTTCAGCTTCCCATGCTCTGCCAGGTGCACAAGAAGCTGGGAGGGGGCACAGCCAGGACAGGTGACCCAACATGGCCAAAGGGCTATTCCATACCATAAGACGTCATGCCCAGTATATAAACTGGGGGGAGTTGGCCAGAGGGCAGCGATCGCTGCTCAGGGACTGGCTGGGCATTGGTTGGCGAGCAACTGCATTGTGCATCACTTATTTTGTATATTCTTTTATGATTATTATTATTTTCCCTTCCTTTTCTGTCCTATTAAACTGTCTTTATCTCAACCCACAAATTTTACTTTTTTTTTTTTTCCCCCGATTCTCTCCCCCATCCCACTGGGGGAGGGAGTGAGCGAATGGCTGTGAGGTGTTTAGTTGCCTGCCGAGTTAAACCACAACAAGCACTTCAAATTAACATCACTAAAAACTCCATGCTAAGGAGCAGCATAGACAAAATTATTTTGATAAAAATCATGCATCTAAACTTGACACATATTCCCCACTAAGTCTTTTTTCTTTCTCCTACCTCCTAAGATTTTGGAGGTTCTCGTTAGAGTTGACAGCAGTTATCAGTATGTTCAGTTTGAAAATACATAATCCACAGTCAAGCACCTGCTCTACCAGTTCTCTTCTTCTTAGCAAACATCAACATGCTAGAAGCTTTCCCACTGCTGAAGAGTTATTTTTTGCTCCAAGGAGCATGAATATTAATAAGACACATAATGAATAGAGAAGGAAAGATTCAAATAATAGATTATACTAATAAAAACTTCAGTGAGCATGAGAGACATAATGTGATGTACCAGGGGTGATTATCACTTCAGAACAAGACAGCTTATTTCAACATAGTTATACAAATGTACTTAGTACATTAGCAGTGACTACAGTAAAGTCAGCTTCCTAGAACTACAGCCTTATGTGGAACTTTGAAAAATACAATAGTTATGTGGAGAGCAAGAATTTTCAGCACCATAGTCAAAACCCAAATGTTTGAAATAGCTCAGTTGAAGAGTTACCTCTGAGGATACTTTGTTTTTATGATTACTTACTCTCCAAGAACACTGAAAATTCTAGAAATTACTGTAATATAAACCATTAACTTACATATATTAAAACACAAACAGAAATACTTTTTTTCTCTATTTTTAAATAGCTTCTTTCAACAATTCTTTAAGACAAACCCATGAGTGTATCATTCTGTAAACATACTACAATAGAACTTATCAAAGTTGGAACATTCTTACCCAAAGATGACTTCACAATTGATTTAATGCCAGCATAAACTAAGGGACCTTTGTTTCCTGTAAGTTTTTGATCCATATCTTCAGTATACTGCTTCATAAGTATTTTCATGTATAGGAAGCTTAATTTTTCCCAAGTGTTTGAAAAACAGGTTTTTTAATTTAAACTCACATCCTATTAACATATGCAAAGTATTTACAGGATGTTGCATTTTATTTAAAGATTTTCATGTATTTCACATAACTGGTTTACATATAAAGGTATATTGCTTCTTTAGGATATAAACTACAGTAAAATAAAGGATATAATGCAGAGTGTACCAAAGCGATTTCAGCTGAGGATCTTCATTTCCAGCTAGGAGGTGATTTCTCCAAACTTGTTCAGTATCAAGACCATACCTTGACAGAGCTCTGAGCCGCATTTTGGTTGCTATGTCTTTTTCCAAGGAACTAGCCTTTCCCTCTTCTGTACACTCATATAAATGTCGTCCACAAGCCCACATTAAGGATGTCACTGGACTCCATGCAAGAGAAATTCTTTCAAAAACTGTGAAGTCAGACATAGTTCTGTTGGGAGTCACTACCACCATTCGATTTTGACTTGTGGGATGCCAGGCAAATGAAGCAATGTAGTTTTCACATGGTTGGACACTTCTTTCAATTATCGTTGGCTCAGTTTCATCTCCGATAGGGGTGGGAGTATGTTGCATGTCATACAGTCTAATGATATTACTATCCCTTGTTAAAGTAGCTAACAGTCCAGTTCTTGTTGGACACCATGCAACTTTTGTTAAGGGTTTTGGTTGCTCTGTCAAGGTCAAAACAGGCTTTTCAAACTTTCTTAAATCCCATATGGCAACCTGTCCTTCATAGAAGGAAGCCACCCGATCGTGGAAATAGGGATCGACAGTCACTCCTTGGACAGCCTTGGTGTTCACAAATATTTTTTGGCTTGTGTTCCTCAGATCAAAGATAGCCAGATTTCGATGCATTCCAGCTAAAAGCAGCTTCTGATCCCGTGGAAGCCAACAGAGAGAGAGACAAGCATCATTCTGTCCCAATTCATACAGTGGCTTTGTTACTATCTGAAAGTCTTACTTTCTCTGTAGCAACTGCAGTCTCTGGGGCGTATTTGCTACTGATATCCCAGATCAATACTGAAAAGTCAGCCCGATGTTTATCTAACCCGGCAGCAAGCCAGTTACTATCCAGTGGGTTCCACGCAAGGGTATTGCATTGCCGTGCATGTTTGGGAACAAACTCTTTGCCTATCAAATCTTTAGATTTTGAGTTGTGATCTTGACCGAGGCTAGTAAGTACCACTCGACCATTGGCCTGTCCAACAGCAAGGAGACATTCGGGATCATACTTTGGATACCAAGCCACACATTTCATATATGGTGTATCTGAATTTATTGACAATAGCGTAGCCGTAGTTTCTTCTGATAACCGCAAGGATCCTGCCTTGAGTTCTGAACTTACAGCAGAGTCAATGTGATAAAGGCTCAATTCCGAATCACATACAACAAATCTGTCAACGTGGTGCGGGGCCCACAGAATATCAGGTTTGGAGCCGCTCATGGTTAGGGTAAGTTTACACACAATTTAAGCTCTTGTAAGAAGATTCAGGTGATATCCATGCATATGGAAACTGTTGAGAAAATAATTTGGAGGAATGTTATCAAAACCCAAATTCCTTTGTAATCTGAGATCATCTTTAAACAAACAAAAATATGGTTCTGAATGACTTTTAGCCCAAGGGTTTAACACTTATACATTTCAGGCCAAAACCTTAAGCATTCTCTGCATTACACCACTTTCCCCGCAGCACACTTTGGTTTTGCTGCTATACACCTCCTGAGACAGAACCAACATAGCCACCTACAAACTGACAGCGGGATTACCTGTGTTTACAAACTCCACACCAGTATTAAGGAAGAAGGGATTAACTGAGATGTGATGTGGCATGATACATGGGTGTGCTGCTGGTAAAGAGCCACTCCCTAAAACATGTAAAAGAAAATTTCTCTGCCTAATTAAAACGCACTAACTGACAAAAATTAGAGTCTGACTGTTTTGTCTGAAGTCTGTTCCATAGCCTAGAAAGGCTTGCCCTCTTTGAAGATTTCTACAGAAATACAACTTGCCACTCCTCATCTTATTCTATTGCTCCTAATCCCACCTTCCGCCCCGACGTTACCTTGTCTTTGTTCACGTTTGGCCTAGCAGCATTCATAAATGTACAATACTGTTAAATTCCACTTACGCTTTCAGCAGCTGCATGCCCAGAATCATTACACGTGCCTATATACAAAAAGACCCCGCAGATTCTGTAAACCTCCTCTATAATGTAGAAAGGGCCATACTAGATTGGGAAGCACGAAAAGGGAGCCTGACTTACTTCTCCCGGGCCTCCCCTGTGGGCCTGCTGGTTACCCCCAGCCCGGCTGCGACGCGCTCCGCGGGGCGCAGGGCCCGCAG